ATGTAGCAATTAATAAAAAATTGTAAAAAAGTAATTAACTATTTATCTAACTATTAAACAAGAGTCAAATGTAGCAAATTAACTAGTAATTAAACGAGTGTAAATAATAGAATAATTTCGTACCTCTTTCGGACTTTCGGTCTTTCGGATGGGAGTAATAGAATGACTTCAAATTAATTAGATATAATTCCAACTATATTAATAGATATAATAAATATATAAGTAATATATAATTAGATAACAAATATAAGTAATATAATACTATTTATATCTATTTATAGTTTATATAAGTAGATAATTAATATAAACTATAAATAATAAATATAATATATTGGAGAATGGAGAATAAGAGAATTAGAGAGTAGAGAGTTAAGAATATGATTTAGGAAGAATTGGAGAAGAGATATGAAAAAATGTTTAAGATTAGGAGTATTTATAGGTTTTTTTACCCCCCACCCCCCACCACCCCCACCACCCAACCCCCCCGGACCCCCCCTTTACCCCACCCAACGGCTATATAGCCGTTCGGGTTGTCCCCAGCCCACCCCCAACGGCTAGTAGCCCACTAGCCCAATTTTATTTTTTTTTTTAATTTGAGACCGGACCCGGGCCCGACCCGGCCGGGCCAGGTCACATTTATCCAGCACCGTGCCCGTCCCGCCCTTCCCCACCGGTTCGGGTCCACACCCGGTCCCGGACCGCCCGACTGGGCCGGTCCCGGGCCCGCACAGTACCGGGCCGGGCCGGGTGGCCCGAACCGAATCCAACCCTACTCACAGCTGATAATTGAATAAGAAACCACAACCCAACTGCCCCACTCAGCCACCGTTAGCTACTCATGCGAGTGAAAAAAATAAAAAATGAAAGTAATATTTAAAAAGTAAAAGTTAGTGTTTAGTAAATAAACTATACTTTGTATAATAGAAAAATTTAAGGGGGAATTTGACCTTGCACCCAACTTTTTGGAAGATACTGGACTTTGCTCTACATTTTAAAAAACTTTGGTTCTGCGGCCCATTTCATTAAAATCTTTTGACTTTGCTTCACAAAGCTTCTAATTTAAACCATTTAAACCATCAAACCTCTACTTAAAGTTTCTAATTTTATATTACCTCCGTCCCGTTATGATTGTCTCATTTTAACTTATCGGTCCGTCCCACTAACATTATTTTATACTAAATTTAGTAAAGTTTGTATGGTTCTAAATCATTCGTACATTATTCTTACTTTATCAATTTAATATCAACCGCATAAACCACTTTTTATTAATTAATTTGTGTGTCACTCCATTTTGTCCCATTGTTAGCGGGACGGAGGGAGTAGTATTCAATTTGAATAGAAATGAGAGTAATAGTCCAAATTAACCTTTTTATAGGAAGAGTTATTTGTTTCAAAACACGTGATGTTTTAAACCTTGCCCAAGAATTCAAGATACTACACAATAAAGTTTAAACTAGGGGTCGGGTAGGCGGTTTGATTTAACTGAATCGTACCAAATCGAAGCGAAATCGAGTCATATGCAAATTGGTTTGAGTTTGGTAATATATTTTAACCTTATTACACCGAACGAAACCGAAATCAAGAAAAACATGTAATAAAACCGGAGCGGACTAAACAAATTTAATAAAACCTTCAAAAGTTATAAAAATAACAAATCATATCCAAACCAAACTAAACCAAACCGAACCCAACCAAAAAATAATGACCGAACTGAAACTGATAGTTTTTGTTTAAAGTTTAAACTAGCTAGCTTTAAACTAGATTTAAACTAGCTAGCTTTAAACTAGATTTAAACTAGCTAGCTTAATTTATTATGATCTACTCAAATAACTCAATTATCCTCGGTTTTAATTACTAGCCTCATTAAGAAAGTATCATGAGTTCTATTTTTTTCATCCATCTATGAGAAGCCCATAGCTGTAAATGAAAATAGATTTCGCAGACTTGATGGGTGTTAAATTAAATGAACCACCAAGAACACAAAGCAAAATTGGTAGAAAATTCATCGCCAAAATTTTGGAATATTGCTTGTGAATAATAATGTATATAAGGAGCCTATATTAATTATTATTCAATAAAAGATAAGGAGTATATAATATTCTAAATAGTAATTAATTAAATCATGTTTTAAAAATGTACGGAAAATGGTTTTGATCCCTAATCCAGAAGATTAAATAACTAACCAACTAGACTTTCTTTCAAAAAAAAATTAAAAAACCAACTAGACTTTTTAAGGATAAGGAAAGCAGAAGTAATGCTAACCCAGAAAACGTGACTAGTAGATAGTCCAAATAGGTGGGCCCTGCGACCGTAATCTAAATTAAGTAAGTAACGTTTGATTGCGTAAAAAGACTAATTAATAAATTAATTAATTAGTAATTAATAACAGAAAGTTGGCTGTTTTATTTCTCCCTCCCCAGAACAGCTAGCATGCATGTCTCTTTTAAATCAACAATCATACAAGTGATACCACACACCATGCATATCATACATACTTTTTAACATACTTTTTAACCGGAAAAAAGAGCAGTTTGAACCCTCAAATAGGCAAAACTGATGCTAATAAAATTGATCATACTAATAATATCTACTTTTAAACATTTTACAAAAAAAATAGCGGAAATAAAGTTCTCAACAATTATCCTAACTAGTTAACTGTTTCGCAAATATAAATCAAGTGCTAATGGTGTTAATTTTCATTTTTTATTTTAAATATATCAAAGCAAATATTTATAGAGTATTTATATAACATTAACAACATTATATTTGAGTTTAATCTTATTTGTACTATAAATTAAATTTAATATTCAAAAATCTTCATAGAACATAATAGAAATATGTGAACACTACATAATACTCATCAAATTCACTATTATATTTTACTCTTTGTCAATATTTTATTTATATTCATTTTTATCCATTATAATAGAGATTTGAAAGAGTTGTAGTAAAACTCCATTGAATATTGATATAAAGTATATCATAATATAATTATTTTTAATTTAATCAATTATATGCAAAATCCATGCCAAAAACAGTTTGCCACGAGCTATTTGGCACGAAATTATCGAAAAATTCGTGCCAAATCCGTGCCATTCCCGTAATTTTTTTTGTAGTGAATTATTTTTAATTTAATAAATTTAATAAATAGATATCTCTTATAATTTGAACCGGTGAAATAATAAATTACTATAGAAGAAATATGTTTATATTCATATTTATGAAACCTTGTATGTTTAAGTAAAGGTATATATGAATATAAACATATTTTTTCTATGCTAATTCAGTATATCATCCATTCAAATTGTAGGAGATATCATTTCATAAAATTTGAATAAGTTAAAAATAATTTCTATTAATATTTAATGTAGTATTGCTAGAACTATTTTAAAATATCTATTATGATGAATAACAAAACCATGATTAATAAATATTGATAAGGAATAAAAGATACTCCGTAATATAGAATATTATGGTAGAAATAACATCAAACTCAAATATATATAGTATTGTTAATGCTTATATATATTTCCCCTTCGATATGTTTAAAGTTACATAAAATAACGAAAAAGTTAATGCCATTAGGTCTCGGTTTATTTTTGGGAAATATATAATTAGTTGATAGTTGATACTCCCTCCGTCCAATTTTACTTAGTCAATCTTAACTTTTCAAGTCAATGGAGTCTAACTTTGACGGATTATATGTTTATATAGAGAAAATATTAATAATATGAAAATGATATGAAAATATTTTTTGTTAAAAATACTATTATAAAAGTATAAAATTATTAAATTTTGCATAAATATATTAGTTTAAATAATTGGTCAAAGTTAACCATCTTTGACTGGAAAAGTCAAAGATGGCTAAGTAAATTGGGACGAAGGAAGTATTATTGTTGTGTAGTAGGGATTATTTTTTTATATTGTGTAAAAATAGATATCATTGGTAGGAATTTCTCCATAGAAATATAATGATATAGTAGCTATAGTGTACTGATTCTGTTTCATTAAGATTAGCAAATGAATAATTAACTTGCATGTTTATTAAGGCACTGAGAACAAACTGATCTTTTATCGAGTTCAGGGTGCCAATTGGAGTTTTTTTGGGTTGAGGGGGCAAATTGAGCAATCCGAAAGGGTACAAGGACCTATTTGACCTTTTTATGAGCTAGTTGTGTCATCTTTACTGAAAAGATACTTTTATGAGCTTTTTAGTAACTGTTAGTTTTTAGTGACTGAAAAAATCTTAAAAAGTAAAGGCACTAGCTGTTTGATAAAAAACCGACTGTTTGATTTAGCTATGTTTGGTAAACAAGCTCTTAGGACTAATTAATGATAGAAGCTCCGGACTTATCTGAGATGCTACTAACTGTAGGCTGTAACATCTCAAAAAAAGACCTTTTATTTTTGTAAAAATTCTTAAAAATTGGCGTGACAAACATAAAACTAGAAGCTTTTAAAAACTTTTTAAATAGTACAAAAGTTAGAAGATCCTGTCTTTCAAAAAAGAGTTATCCTATTTCCTCTTCACCGTTTCGCTGTGGGTGATATTATAATTTTTTCTCCTCCCCGGCCTTTCAATTTAACAGTAGGTCATGTGATTCCTTGTACTTCCCCCGTTCTTAAATAAATGCAATGGTCAACATTTCACACTTGCCGAGACACAACTTTGACCATTAATATAAATGATTTTGTATTAGTAAAAAAAATTAAAAAAATTAGATTATGAAAATTTACAATGAGACAAGTTTAACAATATTTTTTCATAAAATAATATTATCACATTAATAAATAAAACGTAATCAAAGTAAAATATGTGAATAATATAAAAGTCAAAGTGTTGCATTTATTCGAGAAACATTTCTTTTCACTTTTTCTGCCTTTTTCTCTCCCGAACTTTCTTGTTGATAAGTTGGATTCTTCAAACAATATCTTCACTCTTTTCTCTCTTTATATAGTTTTCTCTTTTGCCCTTTTCTCTTTTAAATGCAATGGTCTGATCTTCCATGCGAATCTCAGTAGAAAGCATGGAAAACAGAGCTGTCCTGTCCATGCCCATAACCGCTCCAGTCAAGTTCAGTGAACACAAAAGGCAAACTAAAACGTGCCGGGCTTTTATGGGGAGAAGGTTTTCTGATCGGAGCTCGTCGATGGTAAATGCTGGGCTGCCCAGAGTTTTGCGGATATCGGTGACTGACGGGGACGCCACTGATTCCTCCGATGACGAGGAGGAAGCCTTCTCTATGCGTCGGAGAATCAAGAAGTACGTGACGGAGGTCACGTTTGCAGCATGGGGACGAGATAAAGGTAACGGAAATACTAACAGCCCTCTCAGGAAAGTTGCGATGCGGCGGAAGAGCAGCGCGGTGAAGCCGCCGCCGGCGAAGCAGGGTTCTAATGTGAGGAAATACAGAGGAGTGCGGCAGAGGCCGTGGGGGAAATGGGCTGCGGAAATCAGAGATCCAGTAAGCCGTCGGAGGTTATGGCTAGGGACGTTCACTACAGCCGAAGAAGCCGCCGCCGTTTACGACAATGCGGCCATTCAGCTGCGCGGACCGAATGCGTTGACCAATTTTCTCTCCCCGGCGGCAGCTTCAAACGAGGATTGCGCGAATGTGACGGCAGAGTACGGGGAAGAGTCCAATAACAACCGCCTATGCTCTCCTAAATCCGTCTTTTTCTTCAGCGAAGAAACCGAAGCTGCTGAGCCGATTCTCCTCAGAGAAATGGACGCCGTCAAAATGAGCCGAGCCTTAACCGGCAGAACGGCCGTACCTGAGATTTTGCCGGAATCTCCTCTATTTGAAACTGTTTCTGCGAGCGAATTGTTCCAGTTGGAGAACCCGGAACCCATACCCGACCCGTTTGATGTGACGGGTTGGTCAGACAAGATCTTCAAGGAAGAATGTCCAGACATATTTATCGGGTCAAGTCATGATATCGGGTTCGGACTGTCCGCAAGCCTAATGGACGAATACTTTCAAGGCGGGGAGGCATTTGGGTCGGATCTGCAATTTTGAATCAATTGTGTAGTGTTGTTCATAATATTTGTTGTATTTAGCTATTTATTTGTCTTCTTATCTGTTTTTTGGTCAAGTCTGTTAATCTGTTATCTTTTTAGGGTCAAAGTGTCATTATTTTAGACGAAAAAAGAGGTGTTAAGTTAATCGTGAAAAATGTTATAGATGGAAAAATGTGCAAGGAAGCAAGTGATGTTAAGAGGAGCCTTGGATTAGGTGAAGCAATGTAATGGAATGAGTGAAAGTATAAGACATGCAAGTCATGTGCTCAGTGAACCCAAATTTTGTGTTTTTGCTCCTTTTGTGTTTCTTCTATCACTATTCACTAATGCTTCACCACTACTATTAAAGATTTATAGGTGAAAATTTAAACAATCATTCTTGCTGTACACAACCTTGTACACACTTTATACACACCATGTTTGTGAAGTTTTTTTTTTGTCTGTGAACCCGGTTCACAGACAATATTTTGTTTGTGCAAAATATTGTCTGTGAATCGATGTTTACAGACAAAAAAATAGCTTTCACAGACATAGGTGTGTACAAAAGTCTGTACAAACATCATTTTTGAAATTCAAACTTGGCACTCTCATTTTGGCATTCCTTATCCCACTTAGAGTCCGGCCATTTGAATCGACTTATTGTGCTGAAATTTATGAAGCTCAAACTGAAGTGGTTGGATTTGCTGATTTTGCTGAATCATAAAAATATTGTATTTAAAATATATTTTATTAATAAAATAAAGAATAAGTTATATGAAAAATTGCTAAAATGATCCTCTCCAGTAACTTCAGTCAGAAATGTAACTGCAACATTGCTTATTTTGATTATTACACAACTTAATGCACGAAATTAAAAGTTACATGTTTGGAGAACATGGCTGATAAGGTTGATAAACCGGAAAATAGAGTCACCAAATATGCTCTAAAATGTCGGGATTATTTTTTTGAATATGTCGAGATGTTAAAAAAAACTAAAAAATAATATATTTAATTTATTGGTACTAAATATTATTAAAAAGACATTTTGTAAATCTACATTAAGACAAATCTAAAAATATTTTCCATAAAAAAATTAGTGATATATTAATGATAAATTGAATTCAAAATACAATATGTGAATAGGATTATTGTAACTAACAATATATCATTCATTATAATGCAATTAAGTGGTGATAAGTTTACATCTCCATTTCCCCAATCATTGAGAGGACCCCTTGGCCCCTTTATCTTTTTATTTCAAAGTAATAAATATGTCGTTAAAGTTATTTATCTTTCCTTTTTTCACAAATATCAACCACATTATTTTTACTTTATTAATTTAATGTAAGTAAATTTTTGCCAGTTTTATAGGACGGATGGTGTATATGCTAGCATTTCCAAAGTTCTTCATTAAACGCTTCCTTAATTACCTCATTTTTCTATTTACATATTTTTACTCATTTTATTTACACAACGTGTAAGCCAAAGAGCTTATGTGGGGTCATTCATCGATTTCATCATGAAATTCAATATTGAAACAAAAAATTGACGGTTTCAATCAGCTAGAATAGAACCCTTAACCAAGAATACTACTAAAGCCTAATCAATGTTTTAGATCAGCTATATACTTTATTAATACATTTCTCTAACAGTTGCAACATTGCAATTTGAATAAATTCATACATATTACTATGACCATGACTTTCTACTAATATATGCTCTTTCTACCCAAATTGAATTGCAAATTTGACTTTTTGGACCAAACAGACTTATTTTATTCACTTAATTAGAATATCGTGGTGGTTTTATGGAGCATGTATTATATAATTGGAGATATGTGAAGCCTATTTGGTCTTATTTTATGAGGCTATTTGGTATTTCATTTCCCACTTCTAATATAGAGAGAATTCATTAAATAGGAGTAAAAAAGTTTTGAAATTCCAAAATAGGAGTATCATGTTTTTTATTCCTTGAATAAGAGTAAATTTCTGTCAAGTTGGCAGGCATTACTAGGCTTTAAAACATGGCATTTTTTTCCAAACTTGGCAGATTACTCCTATTCAGTGAATAAAAAACATGATACTCCTATTTTGGAATTTCAAAACGTTTTTACTCCTATTTAGAGCAATTTCTATCTAATATATCATTGTTGCAAGTTTTTAGAGCATGATGGTTAAAGGCGGGCAACATGACATTGGAAGATATTTTCAAACACAACCTGTCGGGCATAATTTGTTGGCATATTTGGAAAGCTTATTATAACGAGATACTTTCACTTATTTTTACTGATCATCTTATTTTCCAAATTAGACTCTATACTCAACTTTGGGTCTCTGGATTCTCAAATATAAGGTGTCTAATTATAAGATATATACTATTTCAAGAACACTTAATTCTGAAATATTCAAGATAAAAGGTATTATTTTCAAGATTATTAAGTGGAGAAAACCAAAGTTGAAGTTAAAGCTTAACATAGATGCAAGTTTCTTACCTGAGAAAGCCGCGACAGGGGCGATTATGCGTGACCAGTTTGGAAGGTTGATTTGTGCTATCTCGTTCTAGGTTTGGAGCTTCTTCGCGGAAGCTGAAGAGAAATCTCTTATGATTGTAATGAAATGGGCGGTTGATGTTGGGTATGAATCCTTTGAGGTGGAAGCTGATTCCTCGCCATCCTTAGCGTGTTTGATGGATGAGGCGAGAAGATGGAGGGTTTCAATTAAGGAAACCCTGCTGTTAGCGATTAGGAAAGGTATTACATTTTGGGCATTCCATGAGGGAAGGAAATTGGGTAGCGCATCACTTAACCTGCTCTAATGCGGCCCATTTCCAATAATTTAATAGCCAACTCTTATGCTGCTAAAAATGCTTATTTCATGGAGCTTTTTGGACTTTCATCTTTTAGATTTCTTAATTTACGTATGTTTTTATTCTTGATTTATCATTTCTTTGTATTTGGAGAATGTATGCATTCTCCGACGAGATTTTGGCCCAAGTACCCCCTTCCTTTTGTACTTCTCTTTTTTAATAAAACATGATCAGTGTTCCCAAGCATTTACCCCACCGACTTAGGTCGTTTACCTACCGGATTCAAAAAAAAGACATGATTAGTCTTAATTACATTTTAATTTGGGTTTTACAACTTTGTAGAAATTTTAATGTAGTTTTTAAATATGTAAGTTTTAATTATTAAAATTGAATTAATTATCAATGAGGATGATTTAACTTTAACATTTTTTTTACCCCGGAAGACAAACCACCAAAATCAGTGGGGTAAATGCCGGTGAACATTTACCAAAATTTTAATTAGATAATGAAAATACAATCGAGAGGGGGACTAGACCAAAACCTCTCACGAGGCATACCTGCACCAAAAAAGAACATCCAAAACAAAAATAGGAAAAAACATCAGGGGGACTAGACTCGACCCAATGTATTACATCAAAAAATAAATCTAAACTACTCTAAAGGATGGAATGCCAAACGGATAGTAATAGGCTCTTCGGGCTGAGTCCGGAAGATCTTGCGCCCGTGTAAACTTTCTCAATTGGGCCTGAGCATGTTCAGCCAGAAAAATATATCCTCCATAGCATGCCCACCCTGAATCAAATTAACATCTCCTACCCCTCAGAATCTTCAAATGTGAAAAGCTAGTGACCCAATTTTGAGTGTATAGCTTAATCTATAAAAATATATGTTCAGGAGAAGGAATTTTGTCATTCGAACCCCAAATACAATTAGAGTAAATCCTCCATAGGTGCCAGCAAATGATACCAAGCATGTTATGCTTGAAGATATCTAATAATTTTTTTTCCCTGCTCTAAACCACCAAGCCATGAAAACTTCCTTAAGAGAATTGATTTGATTAGGAAAGGGTGTTCCGAGAATACTCATGAAATAATACAAAACTGGTTGAGCCACTCTACACTTGAAAAAAGATGATCCAATGAGTCTTCAGACTGTGTACGGAGAGGACAAAATGAAGGACTAAGAACCAATGAAAACCTTCTTAAATTATCTGTAATATGTAGGATACCCTTTAAAATTTTCCATTGATTTTTTTTTTAATTTCATGGGTTGCCTAGGGTGCCAAACATGTTTGTAAGAGAAAATGGATGCCAACCCAAACCTCACCATGTTATAAGCGGATTTTAGAGTAAAATCCTATTTTCTTCAGGTAGCCAACTCATACTACCATCCTGGTTAATCTGGCAAAATTGATTAGCAAACTCACTGATTGCACAAATTCTTCTCCAAATGGGAGAATCAGTAATCCTAGGCATCATATCGTGACCTCTAGGATATTTTGCTTTCAGAAAATCAATCCAAAGAGAATTGGCAGTTCTTCATTTCCACCATAATTTTACTGAAAAAGCTTTTTCCAAATGACCCAAAGATCTTATGCCCAGCCCTCCTTCATCGGTAGGAAGACACAAATCAGACCACTTAATCCAGTGGTAATTATGTCTATCTTTAGAAGAGCCCCAAAAGAATGTTGCCATCTTCTTTTCAAGAACACTAATAACTTTCTTGGGCAGGTTATCAGCTAGCAGATGGAGAGGAATATAACTCAAGACATGTTTGATTAAGATAAGTCTTCCTCCCTGAGAAAGGTTTCCTTGCTTCCATGGAGAATTTTTTCTCAAATTGATTAATCAGATTAGAACAATAACTAAATCTGTTAATGCCTTTGTGAAGATTAACTCCCAAGTATTTAATAGGTAAATTAGCCTTCTGCATTCCAAAAATCCAGTGAATTGTCTTAATTCTGGCTCTTGCAAATTTACCACAAATGAAGGAGCTCTTGTCCAGATTAACTAATTGTCCTGAAGCAACCTGATGAGTTGAGATTTTTTTGAAATTTAACAAAGATCTGGCCTCTCCATTAAGAAAAATTAGTAGGTCATCCGCAAACCCCAAATGTGACACTGGATAACCCACATTACCCATCCAGTAAGGCTTAATGAAGCCATGATCCATGTTCCATTTGAGGCCTCTAGAGAAAGCTTCAGATGCAATAATAAAAAGGAAGGGTGAAAGAGAGTCTCCCTGCTTAACACCTCTTTTAGGTTGAAAAAACCCCGAGGGAACCCATTCATCAAGATGGAGAGATGAGTGGCTTTAAGGTTATTAATGATGAGCTGCACAAAATTATTAGAAAATCAAAGCCAAGAATTCCCAAGAGAGCCTATCAAAGGCTTTAGCCATATCAAGCTTCACCATAACATTAGAGCCCCTAATTTTCTTATCAATAGAACGAAGTATTTCCTAAGCAATGTGTACATGTTCTGTAACATCTCTGTTTTTCATGAAACCAGCC